GTGGGACTACATCTCCTTACGATGCTCCACTGACTTGTGTATCAGATTTTCAGGTCGAAGGCTCGGGGAGTGGCCTTCAAAGAAAACCACTTGCTTCGGTTTGGATACCCGGGTAGTATCAAAGCCCTCACACATGTCGAATGAGATTTGTGTGGCGCATATGCATTTGGTGCCTCCATGTGCCAATATCTATGTGTTAAAATAAAAAAAATGTGTGTATACAAGCAAGGGGATAGTTTGTTTTTTCTTTGCTTTTAATGAATGCCATTTACTGACTTCAAACACTGATGCCAGGTTTTACTTTGGCCACCCCTAACTTTCTCCCAACCGTCTCTAACACCAGTCAGCATTGCGCGTCGCGGTAATCGATGAGATGTCTTCGGCTCCTTCTGAGCCTCTTACAGCTTCCTCGAGTTCACCGGTGGTCCGTCGTCACACCTCCCCCCTTTAAAGTCCGTTGTGTAAGATTTTTTTCTTGGATCCAACTGAAGCTTGGGTGTCGCATTCCTCTTGCGGTCCATTATTCTCGAGGGTTGTACAACTCTCTCTCTGCGTCGTTTGTCTTTTCGATATTTGCGCTCATGATGGTTCTTCTGTGATGAATCTACGAGCAATTGAAATGGGAGCCGGTTTTCTGTGACCCTTGTATTATCATTTCTTTGCATTTGATTTATATGTCTTATGCATTTTCCGACACCTTACCGGACTAGGTACAGTACATTTCCGATTCGACGTTCTATGACACCTGGTTCCCACTTCCTATTACCTTGATACGATCTGACAAGTACCTTTTCACCCACCTGGAAGCTACGATTGACCTTACGATTTTCATTTGTGGGTTTATTTGTCTTTCTGGGCGGCAACATACTGTTAAAGATTGTCCGGATTTTCCTATTGAACATACACTCGGCCGGAGATTTTCCTTCTGGTACTGCCGGATTAGGGGTAACTCTGTAAGACATCAAGAACTTATTAATCACATGTTCCGGGATACCCTCACCTCCCCCTTTTACCAGAGCTCTTTTAATCGTATCCACGAATCTTTCTGCCTGGCCATTCAACTGAGGATGGTACGGAGGAGATTGTAGATGCAATATGCCGTTTTCATTGCAAAAGCGTTTGAAGGCGAATGACATAAACTGAGTACCATTGTTGGTCACTAGGATCTCTGGAACCCCAAAACAAGCAAACAATGCTGACAATCTTCTTACTGTACTCTCTGAAGTCGAATTCGGCATGTCATACACTTCTGGCCATTTGGTGAATGCATCTACAACGACTAAGTAATTCCTACCTTGTATTGGTCCGGCGAAATCAGCATGTATTCTTTGCCAAGGCTTGTCCAGTTTAGGCCATGGTTGTGGTTCAGCCCTCGTTGGATTCTTTGCAGCCTCTAGACAGGACCAATAACTGCGACATTTTTGCTCTATATCATGGTTCATCGACGGCCAGTATGCATAGCTGCGAGCTAGTGACTTCATTTTACTTATCCCCGGATGCCCGCTGTGAAACTGTTTAATGACTTGGTGTCGAAGATCTCTGGGGATTACGATACGATGGCCAAACATTATACATGAATCGACAACTGTTAATGATTCTCGTCGACGAAAATATTGTAAGAGATCTCCGTGTAGTTTAGATGAAGGCCATTTGTTGGGTATGCAATGGCGAACAATCTTCAATACATTATCCTTCTTACTAGCCGCTTTAATGGCTTCGAATGTGACCGGGAGTCCGGAAACTGCGTCTGACAATATTTTGTGAACCTCGGCCTCGACATCTATAGCAGCTACAAGTACCTCTTCTTCTTGTTTTTCATGCAGACCAATCAATCTTGAGAGTGCATCTGCCTGTCCGAAATCCGTTGTTGGTTGATACTTTATCTTGAAATCATAGCCCAGCAGTGTGGTAGGCCATCGCTGTAGCCGGTTTGCTGTATATACCGGGATACCTTTTTTAGATCCAAAAACTGTCAGTAACGGTTTATGGTCTGTAAGTAAGGTGAATTGTCTGCCAAACAACATTTTGTGGAACTATTTTACAGCAAATATAATCGCGAGGGCTTCTTTCTCTATTTGACTGTAGTTTCTTTCAGTCATAGTCAGCGATCTCGCAGCGTGAGCGATTGCTTTCTCAGACCCGTCAGGGTAGGCATGAAAAATTACTGCTCCAATTCCGTAGTTCGACGCATCTGCAGCGACTATAATTGGAAGATCAGGATCATAGTGTGTAAGGAGAAGGTTCGATGATAGAAGCTGCTTCAGTTTTAGGAACGCTTTCTGGCATTCAGTTGACCAGAACCATTTAGTATTCTTTTTCAGTAAGCAATTAAGAGGAGCACGATGGCGATGCAGATCTGGAAGAAAAACTCCATAATGACTAACCATTCCTAAGAAGGAACGTAAAGTTGATACATCAGTCGGTGGAGGCATGGACTTAATGGCTTCGACATTTTCAGGGTCAGGTTTTCTCCCGTTTTTATCGATTATGAATCCCAAATACCGGACTTGCTCCATGTAAAAATCACATTTTTCGGCACGCAGTCTAAATCCATAATCTGCTATGCGTCTGAGAACCACATCCACCTTATTCTCTAAATCAGCATAGTCTGTACCCATGATCAATATATCATCGAGATAAGCCGCGGTACCAGGAATGTCTTGTAACATAGTGTCCATAACTTGTTGGAAGATTGAAGGGGCGGTCTTTACTCCAAAAGGAAGTCTGTTATATCGGAACAACCCCTTGTGAGTGTTTATTGTCAAGTAATGCTTAGACTCATCCGCTACCGGAATCTGTAGATAAGCGTCTGATAGGTCTAATTTCGCGAAATACTTACCCCCATTCAGTTTCGCAAATAAATCCCCTGGTACCGGCAATGGGTATTGATGGTCTTCAAGTGCTTCATTTAATCCAGTCGAATAGTCTGCACATAACCGGATACTTCCATTAGACTTTTTAACAATCACTATCGGTGCTGCCCAATCAGAAAAGTTTACTGGTTCGATTATTCCACTTCTTTGCAGACGCTCTATTTCATGTTCAACAATAGGTAGTGCTGCATAGGGTACCGGACGTTTTGGTCTGAAGACTGGGGTGACTCCCGGTTTAAGAATCAATAGTGCTTTTACCTTTTTGCATTCCCCCAACTCTTCCGTAAACGCTTGACTATGTCTTTCCAATACAACACTCTTCAGATCCTTTTCCACCGGTTTATTGGTTCTCACTGCACTGCATATGTGGTTAATGGGGTGATTTGCTAATTCTAGTGTTTCTATCAAGTCTAGACCTAGCAAATCTAGTCCTGGGTTCTCTGTGAGATATAAAGTTGCATTCGTTTTCGCGTTTCCTTTCGAAACTATGCAGCGAACTTCTCCAACAATATTTAGTTTTCCTCCAGATGCGCTGTGAGCTAACTGGGTAGTTGGGAGCACCTGTGGTTTACCGATAAGATTCCAAGTTCTTCGACTAATAAGTGTAATGTCAGAAGCGGTGTCGAGTTGCAGGCGGGCACGCTTTTTATTTATATGCAAGTTTACATACTTTCTTTAGCGGCAAATTCGTGCTCGATTATGTGATACCAACATTTTGTTAGTTCGAGCACTAAATCTGTATTTCTTCGAGTAGGGCTTCAAGGAATGTCGTTTATGGGTTCTTTTTATGTAGCAGTTTTCTTTATGTCCCTTCCGATGACATTTGCTACTACAATGTTCCTTATATGGGCAGAACCTTTTATAATGCCAACCCCCACAAGACCAACATGGAGATGAAGGCTGATTGTCTGTGTGCGATACCTTTCTTGAGCAAGAATCGTTCTTTCCGCTTACAGCACGAACGTATGGCAATTGGCCATTATTCTCGACCATCGAAGTGTCATGCTTTAGGTTTACCAATCTCTGACACTCTGTGGTTACTTCTTGTAGTGTCATATTCGGACATTGTTCAATTTTACTCAAAATTCTGGTTCTAATATCGGCGTCTTCAGGAGATTGGAGGCTGCACACAAACACGAGACACTTAAACTGATCTTCTGTCATTGCTGATAGTTTGAAGCGCTCACATTCACGGTTTACTAAACCCGCATGCTTCACCCAGTCATCATCACCTGCTTTTGTCATCTTGAGACATTGATAACGAATATTAAATAAGGATGACTGTTCGGCAAAGATTTGCGACAAAATTTCAATCGTTGCATCAAAAGAAAAATCTCTTGGATTCTTTGGAAGGATAAAATTACTGTAACGTTCATGTTCAACAGTTCCAAGTTTTCGCAAGAGTATTCTGACCTTAGCGGCGTCATCAAGTTTTTTGAGGTCGACCTTGAATAAGTCTTCATATTTCTTGAACCAAGTTTCAAAAGTGATGCCGGCTGAACCATCAAAATTAAATTCATGGATAGAATTAACAATCTGGTCAACATGAGATTTGAAGGGGTCAACTGTAACTTCTTTTTGATCCAGGTTCATTTTCTGAGTTAGCATCTCCATCATGCGCATCTAGAAATGTTCAAAACGTTTTTCTTGGCGTTCCATTAAGGCTTCAAATTGTTCAAAGGTAAATGACATATTGGTACAATAACCCGTCGCCAGATGTTATATCTTGAAACTGATTTTTCTCGATATACCGCGTACAACAGAGCACCAGAACACCAAAACCCTTCCAAGTCGCAATAAGAAGACAGAAGACTAATGAAAGGAATACTATTCCAACAGTGTCAATCATAGTACAAAATTGTCCGTCGTCACAATTAGTAGGGAGTATCCAAAAACCTGAAGAGAGCTAGAACTTATGTTAACCTGTATAAATCAATAGTAACATCTCTCACCAGCTAATATAAAGTATACAGCGATGTGTCAAGTTACTTAACCTAATGACTATATAACTTGATCGATAAAATTGAATCAGTAATCAATGATGAGATCATGTACTAATGGCTACAATCACTGGGTGACTGAATGATCATATATGATTATTGTACAATAATAATAATTGTATCTTACCGATGTTTGGATGATTTAACATTTTCATAATATTCACTTCTCGGAATAGCTGATATTCAAAGGGAAAAAGTATAAAAAGAAAGTTGAGTAATCCAACAACAACAACAAAATAAAACGATTCTTCAGTGATAATTATTTTTTGAAGATCAACAAAGTATTGTTATTCAATGTAACATGGTAGACTGAAATACAGATTCCCGTACTCAGTATCATGTTGGATGATACATTAAATATGAGAGGTAGATATGTTACCGGACTGACTGCCTGCCTAAAATATATGAAGCAACAACCGAACCTATGACACTTTCACCACAGTAAATGAGATTACAATGCATTATTAATAGAACTCTGATGAATAAAAGTAGAACTGCAACCCATGACTCACTGGTTATAAAATTGAGTTCACAGTTCTATAATTCATCTGATTTATACAGTTAGGTTGTCCATTTGATAGCCTACTCTTACATCGATCAACTATGGTCATACAGATAGGGGATGGTTAAGCACTTATATCATATACCAGCTACCTTACTCAATCAATATAAACTTATATATTACTTCATTGTTTCAAAAGATTAATCAGTATGAAGTACACTATCTGCGGGTAATACATTCCTAATAAAATCAGCTTGTTTATTGTTTAATTCATCATTTATATCGCAAACTAGATTGATTTAAACAAGGTCCGATAACCGTACAATGTTTTTAGATTTCCAATGGTTTTCAAACTAAAATCAGCCAGTAATATATTCAAATTCATCTAAACAAAGAAACAGACTAAGTTGTGATTTATTAAATCCAAAACACAATGATAACGAAGGTTATACATACACAACTGGTTCAGAATCAACATTTCATAACTCAACTAGGTGGATCCTTCATATCCACTAACCAGGCTAAAATGCCGAATATTCGCTTTCCATGTTGTCAATTTTGTAAACAACAGTAATGCCACAAGAAGGCAATGAGTAGGACTTCCTTGACAGTGATTGTATGCACGTTGCCATGTGAGAGCATTTCGAGAAGGAGAGCTGGCTCGCTCTACTTTCAGCCATATCAGAGCATTTTCAAGTTTAAAAGTCAACCATCTCCAACCAGACTGCCTTGCTCAATAATGATTAAAATATTTAGTCCAGTGAACCAATTTATATTTATTTACTAAGTATCATAACAAAATCATTAATTCGTTAAATAAATAATCAAACAAATAGTAACCGTTCAACACCTTAATCTCTAAGATACGGTACTTTCAATCTAAACTAAAATAGGAAAGTTTAGGCGGACATCTTGATTATCAGAAGGGGTTTTGTGGAGATTTTAGTCATTCCAATAGTTGAAATTATGAGTCAATTGAAACTACACTACCATGGAAAACCTAGGAGCGTGCGACTCATAGGTCCTGGGTTCGAATCTCACGGAGGGATAGTGGATGAGCACTGCAGAGAATTCTCAAACTAGGACGAAACTGCTGTCTAGCGTTTCCAGGTTTTTCATGGTGATCTAGCTTCAATAGACATTTTAATTAACCATATAAGTAATATGAAACAAATGTCAAACGTTTCCGGTAGTAATAATGATAATACTATTATTATTACTCCCTATTATACAATGGATAAAGAGACTATAGTTATTGTTGAACACAAAAAAATCAATGGAAAGATATTAAACATAATTGAATTTTATCTCTATCTCTCTTTATCTCTATGTCTGTGTGAATATTCGTGAGTGACAGAAATGAAAGCAGAGAATGAAAGATAGAAAAAGAATGAGAGAGACATAGCAACACGTGTCAAATTGACTTCATCATTATTATTATTCATTTTTTGACAGACAGCCTATTGTTTTCATTATTTGTGGAATTCTGTAATATACATATTGGCCCATTGCCCTTAGTTGTCATCTCTTATTCATTCACTCTTTCTCTCTCTCTCCCCACTTACTTTCACGCTTATGTACAAACCATATAAATAAGGAGTAAAACGTATTCGATTAGAAAAGGTAATAATAATAATAATAATAATAATAATAATAATAATAATAGTAATAATAATAATAATAATAAAGGAAGATAGACAATTAATTTGGGAGAAAATCAATATACACACATACACACAGAGAGAGTGAGAGAGATAGAAATGATCTAAACCACTTATTACTTGATAGTATTTCAGTATGTTCGAGAAGGATAGATAGTAGTTTCACCATAGCTCCGGCTCATCTATGGTGAATCTCATATTAACCAAATAGGCAAAACTAACATTCCCACAAAAAATAATTCAAGAATTTCAATATATTTCAGTAGTTGAAATCATGAGTCAACTGAAACTAGACCACCATGGAAAACCGGGAAGCAATGGATGGCCGTTTCGTCCTAGTATGGGACTCCTCAACAGTGAGCATCCACGGCCTCGCCCCACTCCCGCGAGACTCAAACCCAGAACTTATCAGTCTCGCGCGCGAATGCGTAATATAATTCATGAAATAGTATAACAGCTATTGACTTAGGCCACATTAGTAGATGTAGGCTACTTGATTAGTGTGTGGGTAATAATCATAACGAGCAGTTGAAAATATCAGGTGAAATGGTTCAGAACAAGTAACAATAACGAATCTTTACTATTAGTCATCTCTTGAGATTTAAAATAACCTTACACTCTTCACTGCGTAAATTTGTTCTTTCTTAAAATGCAGCATTTATACCTAATCTTTTCTATGACTAACAATAATTTTACTACATTTACTACTCTAGTATTCGTATTCAAAAATTCATCTTTGTCTTCATATAATGTGGTAGATCGAACTGATACTCATATGTACCAGATTCTATGTGATGATGACTGATTGGTTGATTGAAGTTATTAGGAGAGATGACAGATTAATAACTTTCAATTAGTAAGTTACAAATTTAAGTTCAACTTCAGTTTGACCAGTCGGATAAAATCACCATCCTCCTATCTAGAGTAACTTAAAGCTGAAAAAATAAATATGTACTCAGTAAATGAATTGCATGTTATTATTACACTAATTAATTAACTTACCTTCTTCAAACTGGCCTGATTAAGCTGAGTTTTATCGATCACTTTCACAGCAACCTGCAATAATATAATGAAGGACGTTTTTAGTTACTTAAAAGAAAAATAAATAAATAACTGGTTAAGCATAAACAATGATTACCATACAAATTTGAGAAGTCTTCAATCTAAACAGTAATCTGATAAATAGTTCAAATCAAAGTGGTAATGAAATTTGAAATGATAATCAGAAACTACTTCTGCATGATAAAGTTGTTTGTCTATCATCAACTACATATACGATGAATTGAAGTGAGTTAACAAGGTAGGATACTGCTCTACTTTGCATTTCAATTACAATTTCGTTTGCATATAAATCGAATGGAATACTTGAATACCTTATGTTGATTAACACTGACTTATTTTCAACGAGCTATATTCAAGCGAATATCAATTTTAGAGAAAAACTATTCAAATTAATATACAAATTGAATTAGAAAATTCCTAATTGATTTTCATAAAACATAATCTGTAAAAATAAATAATGTTCGAATTCTCACTTCACGCCCAGTTGAAACATGTTGTGCTAATTTGACTTTTGCAAAATTACCACGACCAAGTGTACGAATTAACTTATATTTCCCTACATTTGGTTGATCTCTTAGTGATTTTCTGTCAGGATTATGTTGAAACGAACAATTAGTAGCTTGATCGTTGGTACCAGTACATGAAGTTTTACGCATTAAACGAACTCCTGATGAACTGACAGTACTTGTTGTAGTCACACTAGGCATCTTTGTGACCTGCTAAAATTAATAATATGAAATGCCTTTTGTTATTAGGGAAAAACAATAGTGATACTATACCTGACTACGATAATCAATATGTCACTTGGCCAAGGTGTTTTATTTATTTATTTATTTGAACACAGCGATGATCGAACACAGAGAGTCGTCTAACGTCCTCAACTAGGAGAGGCCAGGTTTCACAAGCATAGAGCAAAACTGCTCTCACCGACGCGTTGTAGATCCGACCTTTTACAGCCAGACTAACATCACGAAGGTGCCAAAGATGGCCCAGATTGGCATAAGCCACTCTGGCTTTCACTATACGTGCATTGATCTCATCACTTACACCCCCACCAGCACTTATGCAGCTACCAAGATACACGAACTTCTCGACTACGTCTATCTGCTCACCATCCAGGGTGAGTACAGGATTGGAATCCTGCCAGTCTTGTAGAAGTACTTTGCACTTCGAAGGTGCAAAGCACATACCATACCTACGGACACTGATTGCCAACTGATTAAGTGCGGATTGCATGCCTTGGGCATTATCGCACAGTAAGACAATATCGTCCGCATACTCAAGGTCGAGAAGTCTTTCTCCAGGCAAAAGATCCACACCACCATTACTTACATTCATCAGAGCTGTTTCCAGAATGTCATCGATGGCAAAGTTGAAGAGGAATGGTGAGATTGGGCAACCCTGCCTAACCCCACTACTCGAATGGAACAATGGAGAGAGGTGGTTGTATGCCCTCACTCTGCCTGAGGTGTTTGTATATAGGGCTTTTAGGATGTTAATAAACTTCTCAGGCACACCCTACTTCAATAGACAATCCCAGAGAACAGTCCTGTCCAACGAATCGAAGGCAGCCCTGATGTCAAGAAACACTATGATTGTTGACCTTTGATAAGTATGGTGGTGTTCTAACATTTGGCGGAGGGTGAAGATATGATCAATACATCCTCGACCAGAACGAAACCCAGCCTGCTCCTCGCGAGTCAATCTTTCTCGGGTTTTGAACAACCTACGAAGTATGACGGAAGCCAATAGCTTGGACGCAATCGGAATTAGACTTATCCCCCGATAGTTGTTGTAGGAACGACGTGAACCCTTTTTAAAGATAGGGACAACTATCGACTCATTCCATGACGTTGGTACACTCTCTAATTCCCAAACCTTTGTAAACAACGTCGTCAATTCCTTAGTCAAAAAGTCACCACCATCTTTAAAAAGAGCCGGAGGTAAGTCATCTGGGCCAGGTGATTTGTAACGCTTCAAGAGTTGGAGTTCCTTGCGGACTTCCTCCTCGTTTGGTGGATCAGTCGTCACCGGCCATGGAGGGCAGGACAGTCTGTCCGATGTTGCCGGAGCAGCAGGCCAGTTGAACTGCCCTTCGAAAAATTCTGCCCATCGTCCAAGACGTCGATGGATGTTAGTGATTGGCATCCCATCATCCTCGCAGATTGTTTCACTCACACCAGACTTCTTGCTGCCAGTGGCTCGGATGAGCTGGAAGAGCTTCTGATAGTTACCAGATGCAGCTGCTGCTTCCAGCTCATTAGCACGCTCCGACCACCAGGCTTCTCGGTCCTTACGCAAGCTTTGCCCAATTTCCCTACGTAACATCCTTCGTTTATGGTCAAACTCACGGTCACCCGGAGTAGACCGACGGGCTTCAATGAGTTGTAAGGAACCAGAAGAAACCCAGGGCTTAAAAGCGGGACGTTTCGATAACCCACAACTGACTGTTCCCGCCATTTTCATGGCGTCATGCAATTGCAACCAATGCTCATCTATACTTTTCGGTGGAGTGGTAGCTAGCCTAGAGGCTAGCTCGGTTCGATACTTATTTGCAACAGAAGTTGCAGCCAGCTTGCTAATATCAATCCTTTGTTGGCGGTCACTTCGTTGTCCACTGAAAAGTAAGGCAAGATTGGCGCAGACCAAGGCATGGTCAGAGTCCAGATAGGTACTCCAAAAGGAGCGGCAGTCTTTTACACAACCACGCTAGCGGTAGCTGATCGCGATGTGATCAATCTGAGTCCAGGCTTGGGATGCAGAGGGAGGACGCCAGGTGGCACATCGGCGATGACTGTGCCGAAAGTTAGTGCTAGCCAGAAACAGGTTGTGGTCTGTGCAAAGTTGCAGTAGACGGTCCCCGTTATCTGACCTGCGACCAACGAGTCCCCATCGGCCACCTAGACGACTCTCTTCTGTGCCTAGACGCCCGACCTGAGCATTCAAGTCTCCGGCTAGTACTACAATATCTGTCGAACGCACTTTCTGGAGAAGAACAGATAACTGGTGGTAAAACTCATCCTTGATTGCATCCGGGCTGCAATCTGTCGGAGCATAGGCGGAGATGACGAAAAGACATCGTTTCTCACGCCGATTTCTTCTCACTTTGATGGAACTCTCTCATCTAACAGCACATAACCGACTGTTAATGGGGATCCAATAGATTAGTGCTACCTGAGCTCTAGCGCTTAGTGAGACACCAACGCCAGCAAGACCAAACGAAGATGCCACAGGGTCCCCGGATAAGCGCACGTAAAACAAGCTTTTCGAAGCGACAGATGGAGATCGAATTTGTAGTACTTCGCCAGAGTCTTGAATACGGGTCTCGGATAGACAACAAACATCAATATTAAGACTTTCCAAAGACATAGCCAGCCCTATCTGTTGTCCGACCTGCACTAGTGTGCGAACGTTGAAGGCAGCCAGTTTGAATGGTGCACGTGGTTTCAGAAAAACTGCTTCAGTTCTCGTAATCGGTGGTAACATACAATTTTCAACCGGACAGTGACTCGAGAACGTTTAGATACAGTCGAATTTCCACCAAAGACGAGCCGCTGTATAAGTATAAAAGAGGGTGAACAATGTGGAAAATAATAATAATAATGACAATAATGGTATTAATAATGGCAATAATAGTAATGATTATTTGAATCGATTGAATGTTGATCGGAGCGAGAAAATTAGTTGCCATAGTCATAGAGTTCATGGTTTGTGTGTGGGCTGTGATACTGCCCGGGTGCCCAAACCGAAGCAGGTGGTTATCTTAGGGGGCCACACTTCGAGCCTTTGACCTAATGGTCTAACCCACAAGGCAGTGGAGCATCGTAAGGAGATGCAATCCCATGGTAGCCGGTGACCAACGATTGCTTCATACGCCATTTGTTCCCCCAGGATACTGGAGCCCATGTGCACCATTGGTTTGTGATCCAGTTAAAGCGCCGGACGTTCGCTTTTCGTCCTCTCATTTTCGTAAACAACACCCCCGCCACGAGAAGGCAATTAGTAGGACTTCCATGGCAGAGGCTGTATACGCGCGGCCGTGTGAGAGTATTTCGAGAGGGAGAGCGGACTCTCCCCATTCTCGGCCGTACCAGGGCGTTCGGGGGCAAGGTGAGTTACCTACGAACTAGAAGGACAAAACAGGGTCAAAACAACTCCCATCAAATTATAAACCTGTTAGCTTCATCAGTGTCGTAGTTAGAAGAATAATCAAAAAGACCATAATAACATCCGTGGAAACCAACAACTTGTTAGACAGCGAACTACATGGTTTCAAGAAAAGATGATCTTGCACAACAAGCCCCGTTATATCAAGATCAAAGAACAAAGGCTCTAGATAATAGAAAATTAGTGGATGTTGTTTACGTAGACTTCAGCAAAGCATTTGATAAGGTGCCAAAAATATAAACTACTCTTGAGGCTGGAAAATTCAAGAATTGCCGGACCTCTCGCAAGGTAGATCAAGGATTTCTTGGTAGGTCATAGACAGAAAGAATGAATTTCAATTGCTCCTTCTGGAAACCAGTACATAGTGGAGTACTGCAAATCTCTGTCCTAGGTCCTTTACTTTTTATACCGTATGTAAATGAACTCCCAATTATGGTTCAGTCATCTATGCTACTATAAGCTGATGTAAAATTCGAGTCAAGTAATAGGAGGCGTATATGCATGTGCACTTCAGCCAGACTTAGATGTTATGAGTAGCTGATCTAAAATATGATTGGTGCCTATCAATGTGGCTGAGTATGTTTATATGCACATTGCAGACACAAATGTAAATATATATAGCACAGGGGAAGTCAGTGCTCATAGTATGGACCTTAAGATGAAAATCAGCCATGATCTTAAGACCACGATCCACTGCCTGGAGGTAGCAACTGAGGCGTTCAAAACCCTACGGGCTTTAAGACAGACGTTTACCAAGTTAGATACTAATATGTTCACTACAGTATATACAATCTTAGTGAGATCCAAACTTGAAAACTCACTTTAGGCTGCAAGCCTCTGTTTAAAAGGTGATTCGGATATCTTGAGAAAAGTACAGACAGCGACTATCGAGTCATAGATTCTTGAAACCTGTTACCAGAAGTGATGTCTACCTCTTCAACTCACTAATTCAAAAGAAAATCAGACACTCAGAAGCTTACTAGATTAGGACAAACATAGATTGTAGGTTTTCTATTCTCAATACACAAATCTGTATATTATTTTTTCAATAAGATTCGTCTTATTAAACTATAGATACAGATTGCTTTATTTGACATAAATTCCACGCACTTTAGTCACATGACATCTATACTACTGACATTAGCATAGTCAAATGAATTAATCATCTTGTGATGTTAAAATAACGAATACGCACTTGGACGCTAGAAATTAAAGTATCAAGTGAGTGTGAACATAACCTTGATGGTGTTATTTACAACATTGTATAGAATATAAGCAAAGATGGATAGTGGCTAGCATTGGAATCCAGGACGCGCGTTTCGTCCTGTTTGGGACTCGTCAGCTGGATGTACCTGCATCTCAGAGTTGATGTTCACCCTGTGACTCGAACTCAGTACCGTTCGCTTCAAACGCCATCGCGTTATCCTCTTAGCTAAATTAAGGCAATATCGAGGCATACGCACAGTATGCACATATGCCAATAAGAGATTGATCAATTTCAGTCCTAAAACATCAATGGGAAGATTCAAGTAAAAACAAT